TCCCTGGACTCAAGCAATCCTCCTGCCTCGGCCTCCAAAAGTGCTGGTATTACAGGCATGAGTCAATATGCCTGACCAGGTTATTCTAATTTTTAAAAAATGCATCAGGTCCTTCTGATTTTAAAGAATGTATACTGGTTTTAATATCTTTGGGATCATTGTAAACATTTTGAAGAATATTTCATTGTCTCCCATCTTGGAACTTCTTGCATTTTATGAAAAGTTGAATGGTTTTCATTGTTGTTTTATTTTCTTTTTGAAAGTTGAGCTAGAAACATGTCATATAAGAATCCCCAAAATCAATAGCCTTAAACAAGAATTCTCAATCCTGGGGACTATTAGAACCATTCAGGAGATATACTAGCTTCTCATTGCTACTGTAATATATTGCCATACATTTAGTGGCTTAAAGCAATAGGATCCTATTTTTTTTACACTTTTGGAGGTCAGGAGTCTAAGTTGACTCTTAAAGGTTAAAAACCAGGTGCTGTCAGAGCTGGCTGCTGCTGCAGGCTCCAGGGTGAATCCTTCTTGTCTTGCCCAGCTTCTGGTGGTTGCCAGTGACCCTCAGCTTGTGGCTGCATCACTCCAACTTCTGCCTCTAGAGTTACATTGTCCTGTTCCCTCTTATCATCTATTTTCTCTCCCTCTCCTTGTTATAAGACTGAGATTGCACTCAGGACCCACATAGATCATCCTGGATAATCCCTCTCTCTAAGGCTCCTTAATCTAATCACTTCTACAAAGTCCCTTTTGCTACTTTATAGGTAACAGTTCCAAGTTCCAGGGATTAAGATCGGACATCTTTAGGGATCATTATCCAGCTTGCCTCTGGGGGCTTTTCCAAACTGTCTGACCTCTGGATATGTCTCACTCTGCATACCCCTTCCTCTCAGAAAGAATCACCACTACCGGAAACCTGGCAGTTACTGCTCTTAGAGCCTTCCTGTTATTTGAGGCAGAAAAAAAAAAACCCCAAAATCTGAGAATCACTGTCTAAAATATAAGTAACATTGTCATCACTGAATCATTAATTAGATATGTGTGAAATTTTAATTTCTGAACAATGAACAATTCAGTCAATTCATAAAATATGATTTAATATTTCATATCAATATTTTATAAAATATGAAACGACTGAACGAAGATATTGGGGACTCTGTTCAGAGTTTTTTCCCCATGCCCTCTATCATGTAAAGTATTTCTGAGCATATGATGTCCATGAAGGTGGCTAGTTGACACAATCTAAATGTGCCCGATAATAGACATTTTAAACTGTTTCATCATGTTTCCATTGAAAGATTAAATATTCGCCACTAATTCTTAAAACACATTCAAGCAAAAAGAAAGTTGTACAACACCAAGTTGAAATAGATGCATTTCACTGTCCATTTAAAAGCTGTATTACTGGCAATGATAGATAGTCAAAGTCAAATTGATTGCTATCAATTTAATACTGCTTGGTGTTATTTAACTGGCTACATTCTGATTGCAGCACTGCACAACTATATCATGATCCAACACCCTCTGAGATATTCAAGACTCTCCTGTGAGAGACTAGGGTCCCACGTCTCCCTCCTTCCCACGTCATGCCTCATTTTCCCCCAGTGCACTTGGCTTCCAGCTTAAGATTCCAACTGTTGCCCTCTGTTAGAAGCTCTTTGCTCTGGCCACATGGAAGGTGCACTGTCTGTTGCTGGCTTTGCATTTCAGTTGTTGATGAAACTCAGTTGGAATTTCAGTCCTAAAATAATTCCCAGTCCTAAATAACTTAGTCCTAAATAATTACTACCAGGACCAGACCTTGACACTACTGTAAAGCAAGCAAAGCCTCTTTCAAGACACCAGAATGTTTCCTTCTCTCCAGTGGTTTCGCATCACCCCTGGGATGAGTTGTGGGGGTCCTCCTTAATGGGTGCTGCCAAAACCCAAACCACCCTTCACTGCTTCCTTCCCTGGCAGAGGGTCTCAACCTAGTACTTCCCAAAGCATGCTGGATAACTCATAGTTCTACAATCCTTCAATCTGAAATGTCCCTCATTCACTGCCAGCATCTTATTCATTTTCAGAACTCAGTCTGGGGTCATCCACTCTGTCACGTTTCTCCAAATGCTCCCTTTGGTCTCTGGCGAATCTTTCCTCCTTTACGTTCCTACTGTTCTCACAGGGTATCAGGGTACCTAGGGCCCTCCACTTTTACTTACTTGCCCACATTTTCTATGTTTCCACATTAAAATACGAATTTCCATGTAATATCACAGGTAATTTTGTAGCCCCAGTTCCTAGCACAGTACTGACATCTACTATGTATTCAATCAATATTTGCCCAGGGCTGGGTTCAGAATTCACCTCATCTTCCTCTGCTCCAAAACCCACTGCAGAAAACATCTGTTGTTGTCCATTTACACCAAGACATAAATATAAGTGCATACTCAGAGCTCACGGCTTTTTTATCTACATTTTTAAGTGTAAAATAAAGGTAGCTCTCTCTGCAAAATAAGTTCAGGAAATTCATAATCACGCAGGGTGTCTCTGAGGCTTGGAAGCCTTCCTGGGATCCTGATATCTCATCATTAAAGGGTCCCCTAAGCCTTACAGAAAGATAATGCTATGATTAAGGAGCTGCAGAGTCGATCCAAATGGGTCCAGTCTCAGCAACTGATGACTGGCTCTCCACTGTCATCTTCACAATGATGTCTACAATCTGTAATGGAGCACATCCTGCAAACCTCCTGAAGAGGCCATTTCTGGTTGTGCATGTGTCTTTAGAAAGTCATATGCTTTCACACATCTGAGCCCTCTGGTCAACACTACACAGAATAGCTAAGTCACTGCAAAGTGTAAATTAATAAAGCCAAGGAGCACAAATCACATTAGGGCACCTTTTTGCTTTCTAATTTGAGACTGAAGAATGCTAGTCACTCTAAGCCATATCTAGGAACATCAGGTTTATAACAGGAAAGCCAGGTGCAGTTGCTCATGCCTATAATCCCAGTAATTTGGGAGGTTGAGGCACAAGGACTGCCTGAGCCCAGGGGTTCGAGATCAGCTTGGGTAACATGGCAAGACCTCATCTCTATAATAAGTTTTTTAAAAATAGCCAATGTGGTGGCTTATACTTGTAGTTTCAGCTACTTGGGAGACTGAGGTGGAAGGATCACCTGAATCCAGCAAGTTGGGGCTGCAGTAGCTGTGAGTGTGCCACTATACTCCAGCCTGGGTGACAAAGTGAGACAAGAAAGAAAGACAGAGAGAAAGAGAGAAAGAGAAGGAAGGAAGGAAGGAAGAAAGGAAGGAAGGAAGGAAGGAAGGAAGGCAGGGAGGGAGAGAGGGAGGTAGGGAGGATGGAAGGAAAGAAGGAAGGAAAGAAGGAAAGTAGAAAAGAAAGAAAAAAGGAAAGTAGAAAAGAAAGAAAGAGAAGAAAAAAGAAAAGAAGAGGAAGAAAAAGAATGCTAGTCACTCTAAGGTAGTCATAGATCAAGATTACAACAGGAAACTGAGCATGAACTGCAGTGGCAGGAAACTGATTAACTCAGCAAAGAGACAGGATGCTACTTGTGTCTTCTGTTATTGGAGCTAATTCTATGCCTCCTCCATGAAGCAGCTGCTCTGAGATAGAGGACTGTTAAGTTGCCTCATGAAATCACACTGAAATACAAAGAATAATAAATGCAGGGTTGAGACAAAGTCCTACTTGAAACTGCAAGGAAGTTGAAATAGGTCAGCAAACGTGGGGCAGAGGGTGGGGGTCAGTCTAGCAATATTATGTAAAACATGATCATGATTTACAAAATATGAAGTCCCACATAACATGCTCATAATAAAGAGAATACTGTCACTATAAGTAGCAGGCATGCTTTGAAGGAGGGCTTCCTCAAGATAATATCTTCTCTAAGACCTCAACAATCTAAATTGAACAGCATGACGTGCTGAAATTTATTACTCTGTGTTCCACCCTGTGGTAAGTAGAACAATGACGCCACAAAGATGTCCATAATGTAATTCTTTGGTACTCTAAGTTACCTTACATGGCAAAAGGAATTTTGTAGATGTGATTAAGGTTAAGGACCATGAGGTGGGAAATACTCCTGGTTTAGGTGAATTACCCAACCTAATCACATGGTTATGTTGGGTTCAGAGTCAGAGGGGGATGTGGCTAGAGGATTGAGCAAAGGGATGCCATACTTATGGCTTTGAAGACAGGGGAAGGAATCTGGTGGCATCTGGAAGCCAGACAGAACAAAGGAACTGACTCTTCTGGAGCTTTCTGAAAGAAATGTATTCTTGCCAACACAGTAATAGCTGAAGTAAACCAAGGAGACTCACCTGAAAGCTGTGATGACACAACAGTTAGATAATACATTTGTGTTGCTTTAAACCATTGAGTATGTGGCAATTTGTTACTGCAGTAATAGAGAACTAATACACATCCATATACTTTCACAGGCTTTACACAAATACAAAGAATGACACAAACTGAGACCACCAATCATTCCACCAAAGGAAACTGTTTAACAGAAACCCTAAAAGCTGTATATGACTAATTTCTCAAATATTTTTCAGAAGCAGTCAGAGAGTACCCTGAAATAGTAGAAACTTCAAAGAGGAAATAAAGATTAATAAGCACTTTTCATAAAACCTAACAGATTATCAACTTCTCTCAATGAATCTAACAAAATATTATTTAATTAACTTGAATTTCTCTTCCACTTAGAAACACTCTCTATCCCTGTTACCTCTCCTACCTTTCCCTCCGTTTTTCCCCACAATTCTGATTTTAAAGTGCTTTGAGATGAATTTTTTAATAAACATTTATTGACATGGATATTTTCTAGAATTTATTGTAGTGGTACAAAACAATTAAAATGTAACTTGCTAACTGAAACTTTTCTTCAGCTGAACAATGTGGCACTCATTCATATTTCAGGCCTCTCTTAACATCTTACTGATTAAAAAATAGAGAGAGAGAGAGAGTAGAGTTGCAAATTCTTCTTACTCACCACTTTGCAGCAAAGGGGCCAAAACCACCACATCAAACCGATGCCCAAGAGTAAGAGTAACACTAGAATAACAATGATGGCTGCAATCCCGTTAGACTAAAGTAGCAAAAGACAGAAGCAAATCAGTCAGCAAAACTTACAGTCAAATTCCATATGCATAATTCTTTTAAGGAAAAACACTAGGAAATAATACAGAAAGCATAATAATGTCAAACTAGATTTCAACTACCTTCCTTTAAATTCTATAAATTTCATTGTATTTTATTTAATGTATGCTTTGTTTTGTTATGTTATGGCAGGCAATAATAGATACAAAGTGCTGCAGACTGTTTTCAAATAGATCTAAAAGGAATGTAGGATGAATCACTATCTGGATAAGACTGGTCCCTATCTTTTGTGTCTGGGTAAGGATTATTTTGTTACAAGCATAATTACCCCAGGCAGAATTCTCCGACTTTTTGATGATGAAACACTACTTATTTTATATATTTTGATGATAAGACAAGATGGCTATTAAAAGTTACAAAGTAGATGACAAATCAACAATGGCTTTTATTAGCAAATGGTATACACATATCAATGCAAGCAAGTCATCTCATGCATTCACATATCAGGCAATCTCTCATTGCAACTCAAGTGCGACCCACACAAGGGCACACTGGTGTACTTTTTCTCCTTAGCTGCTATGCTCTTAGCAGCCTTAAGGCACCTACTTTGGACTTTACCTGTCATTTCTTTCAACTAACAGCCATCTACTCATTGTACAGGGCTCAGGATCTAAGTCACTTAAGTCACTAATTCAGGGAAACCTTCCTTGCATATTTGGGCTAGAACATGCCCCTTCTGAGTATACAACTCATACTTACCTATGCTTTGATCTTTAGTACTTATCACAGTGCAATTAATTATGAGTTTTGTTATTATTTGTTTAATTTCTCTCTGCTACCTTGATTTATTGTAAGCTCTAGAAGTCAGGGGCTGTGTCTGGCCTACTGCTACTGCATACTCCATACCTAGCATTTAAATACTATTTAGTGAGAGAATGAACTCCAAAGGCATAAGACTGCAAAAGACATGGATAGAAAGCAGAGTGTTTACTGAACTTTTAGGACAGAAATGGTACCCAAGGGAACAAGGGGTATCTCCCAAACCCATGCTGCCTAGGATCCCCAGGAGTCATGTTTTGTTTGGTTTTCTTGTTTTGTTTTTAAAGAGAAAGAATCCAGGGGGAAAAAATGAAGATAAGTACGTCATAGAAACTTTCAGGCAAGTATCTAAGTGGTCTGGTCTTAAAGTCAAAGAAAACAATTCAAAGCATACATCAGGCTACTTAGCAAAATGCCCAAAGTGCATTTTTCTACACAAAATTTTAAATATTCATGAGTAAGTCATGCTACTTTCCACAGGCTTAATTACATTAAGCTCGAAAATCTAGGCAAATGGGAATAAAAATGGAAAAGAATGTCATGAAAATGCGTAGAGAACCATGGCACCCTATGGGAGAAACGTTGTCAAATGTATAAATTCTTGGTCTCATCTTCAAAAGTGAGGTCTTACGTAAGCTAGCCCCCATCTGTGACTGTCTGTGTACAGGATGAACACGGCATTGCCCACCAGAGTGCTCCTGCGTTAGGATCCAGCCACAGCACTACTTGTAGAAATGGCTCACCATTTGGCGGTGCTATATAACTTTCAAAAGGGTTCTACGAACATTTGGTTTCCCCTTTTCTTAGAATTCACACCCTGTGTTCAGAAATAAGGACGTACAGCTAGAGGCCATGAATCTGCTAAAAATTTAGTGGTTAGTTTGCTACTTCTATGCATGTGCCAAAAACAGGAAAATCAGAAAATTGTGATGACAGTTAGAATATAAAGTAGATGAGCTGGCCCTGATAGGTACCTAACATTCTTGATTTTCCCTCAAAAAATGCCCCTATTAGTAGCACTGAAATAACACTGTGCACTTCCAGATGCAAATATGCACTCATTATGGCAATATTACCATCTTAACTGGTACCAAAGGCTTGTCTCAAAAAATTAAAACTAAAATATGTACTTTTTAAAGATGACAGATCTAATCTTTATCATTTTTAAAGCATGAGGGAAAAAAGGGTCAGAGGAAGCAAAGAATGCCACTCTACTTGGCCATATATAAATGAGCCATGAATATATGAATGCACTAATCCCAGACATCAGCTCAGTTAACTGAATACTAGATCCGGTTTCCCATTGTCTTTGTTTTGGTTGTCAGCACCATCATCGAAGCATGGAAGACATCAGTCATGAATGAAAAATAATTTCATTGTTCACAAAACTTTATAAACAATTTAGGGAAAGGTCAAATATAAACACATAGATTTGAGTCCTGTAATCAGATATTCTATTGCAATCTAGACTCCAGTCAGATGAGAAAAACCATGAAAGTAGGTATGATTACATTTATATCATGGTCAGATACTAGAAGTTTCTCACTTTTACTTCAGACATGCCTCTTTTTAGCCAGATCTCTAGTCAAAAAAGTCCTACTTGATTAACTCTTACTACATACAAGGCATTTAAGTAGGTACCAACATTACAATGTTGGCCAAGTCTTCCTGAAGCCCACAGCTTAATTAGAGATATCAATGTGGAGCAAATCATTACAAGTACGAAGTGTGTTAAAGCGGAGTACAATAAAAATATGTAGAGTGGGAGATAATCCAGTCTAGGATTGTGAGGGAACTTCTTGAGGAAGTATAAAAAAGACTACAGGGGTGGGTAGGCAGAATTAGTGCTTTCCTGCAAGAATAAGAAAAAGGTCATTGTGTCTGGAGCATAGAGTTTGAGGGCACTGAGTGATACCTGAAGATGCTGAAGAAAATGTATCAAACACAAATTTCCAAAAAGGCATAATCTGTTACAAAGTTAATCAACCATTTCTTGGATTAATGGTCATGTATTAGATGACTTTTCAATTGACCCCTTGTGGCATCAATTTCTCCCAAGCATAGTTCTGACCAAGTAGAACTTTCACATGTCTAGAGAGACTGGGATATGTAAGTCCACTGAAGAATCTAGTCTGAGACTTAACACTCAAATCAGTCAAGCAAAATTTTTCTTAAGACTTAACTGGGGTTCACACTAGAACTTTGAGTTTAATGTTAGGGAAGAAGGAACGTACCTCCCAGTCATCACAGACACATTAAATTTTTTAATGTAATCTGTATCTAATTTCCTTATCTTCACTAAAAGCAAGTTGTACAATCAAAAACTTTACTCTTCCAAATATAACTAGAATTCTACATAAGAGAATCATAAAAGTACAAAAACAAACCAGGGTCACTACTGTATTTGCAACATAACCATGGGGAAAAGGATTCCTCGAAAGTTTTGAAATTTCAACTGTTATTGTAATCTATCTAGAAAACAATGAATCACAGCAACAGGCACAGAAAAGGGGAAATGGGTCTTTACAGTTTTGTTCCATCAATTTAGAGCTAGAAAAAAAAAACAGTCATGGTATATATGATGATTTTATTTACAAATTCTACTGGAATCATCTGTATCAGGAATTAGCATATTATGGCCCAAGGGCCAAATCCAGCTCATCTATTTTATAAGACCCCTCAAGTTGAGAATGTTTTTCTATGTTCTTACACAGCTAAAAAAAACCAAACAAACAAATCAAGAGATGAATTGTGTTACATGGAATTCCAATGTCAGTGAACATAAAGCACAGCGTACGTTGTACACAGCTGTTTGTGTAAGTCATGTCTATAGCTAATTTTGCACTACAATGGAAGAGTTGAGTAGTTGTGACAGAAACCATATGGCCCCAAAGACTGATACACATATTCACTATCTGGTCTTTTACAGGTGAAATCTGCCAACCCTTGTCATGTACTAATCAACTGAGGATCTGGTTTAAAATGGCAGACAGTACAAATATTCAGTTCGGGGTGAGGCAGGCAGATTTAGGCTGAATTCTCAGTTCCAGAACTTACTAGACTGTGAAACTGGGCAATGAATTTAGCCTTTCAGTGTCTCCAGGCTCCAAGGAAACTATTCTCAGGGACAGTAAGGACTGAAATCAGCCGATTTCTGCTCATCGAGTCATGCATCCCTTCTAGGGTTGGGCCCACATAATGAAATAAGCACCTCTTCATGTATTTGCATGAGTGTTCAGTAAAGATTGGAGGTGGCTCTCTGTTGCTCAGTATTCTCATCTGTAGAACTTACACAGTAGTCATAGCCTCCTCTTGGGTTGTGAGTGTAAAATGCAGCCATAAAGACCTAGCACACGTGTAACAGTGCTGAGTACATTGTGAGGCACTTAATACATGCTCAGATAACAGGCTCTTGGTATCATTAGTCCAAAAGATTCAGAAGAAGAGCAATGATTTCAAAAGAAAATAAAAAGGAGACACCTTTCCACTGTATTTTTAAAAGCAGAGATACATGTAAGAGCTCAAGAAGAGAGGAGGAGAGATTGCCTAAACACAAGCCTCCTCAGATTCTAATCTTAAGTCTCTTAAATCTAAAATTGAGTTTCCTCATTTTTAAGACAGATATACAGCCAATCTCATTCATTCATTTAGCATATAATGTTGGAGGCCCTGACCTGTGTGAGGTCCAGGCCTGGGAGGGGAGCAGTGGGCAAGGTCTAGGACCTGCCGTTATGACCAGAAGCAAACGGGAAACCGCAGTTCAGGGCTAAGTATCTTAACAAGACTGGGGTGTGGATGTGCCTGGAGCATGCAGAGGGGTGTCTGTATTTGTAGAAATGTCACAAGGACCAATCGCTTACTAAAGTAATAGTGGTTTTATTTTGCTTGGCTTCCAAATACCTGAGAAAGCCAAAAGCATTATCCACATAATGAGCAATATCACTAACTCCATTTCACTAATCACCATATGTAAATATGCCTAAAAGGTTGGCAATCACTTAAAGCCAAAGTCCAGGTATTTATCACAGTATCACCCACCATATTCCTTTATCTGAATAGAGATTTCACACACAAATCAGCAGGGGCATCTCATGAGTGCAAGGCTCACTCTCATATTTATAAAGTGGTGATATGACTCCACATGCAAGAGGCATTTGAGGTGGAATAAAAAACAGTGGTCTAACCGAAGGAGGAAAAAGAATTTTCCTATGATTATTATCAACATGATGAATGGAATTATAGCAAGGATTATCTTATAATAATTAATGGAATAATAGAAACCACACAGAAGAGAAGGCTTCAAGTCATGACCCAGGCTGAAACCAGGAGGTCACTGGTGACCTCTTGGACCTGTGCTCTGTCCTTGATTCTTGTCCTCCTGACCTCCTGCCAGCACCCACTGCTGCCCTCTCTTTACCCAGGAATTCTATCTTCCTTAGTTTTCTCTATCTGGTAAGTGTCTTGGTTTTGCCATTTCTTGAGCTCTTCGTTCTCTTTTAACCTGTTGTTAGGATGGACTTACCTTTCTCCTCAGTTTGATTAAAACTTAAATTTGAATCAAGCCAAATTTATTCCTGATTGTGGGCTTCAGATCTCCTTTTTCTTAAAGAATCTACTTAAAAAGAAAAACTTGAAATTGTACATCTTTCTCTGCCCTTTGAAATGTCTATAAATCTCCTTTAAAGCCTCTGACCAGTTTTACAGAGCCTGAAGGAATGTCCTTCTCAAGGCCTTGAGATCCATCCCTCAAAGTGTAATCACCAAGGAAGATAGTGGCCCTATTTTACCACCTCTGTAGAAGAGTAGAAGCCTAACATTGGTGGCCCTTGCTCCAAGTTTTTGCACTAACCCTATTAGAAAGGCAAGGGAAAATGTATGCTTCCTTTAGGTGAGGTTAGTTAGAGGATACTGGTAGCCTACAATTCCCACCGCCCCATCTCTTAAAATTCTCCAGTCCTTTGTTTCAGCAGAGTTAAATTCAATCTCCCTCTGCCCCCTTACAAGAGTCTTGAATAAGGTCCTCCTTGCCTGTTTATTTTGGCCAATGCATTTTTCTTCTTTGACATTGCATATTCCGCAACATTCAGAATGTCATTAACCCTACCTTCTCCCATTTTCCTGCAACTTCAACAAAAGTGAAAGGTAAATTTTTACCTCCAGGCCTGACCTCTCTCTCTGAGATCTGAGGCTACACCCCCAATTCCCCACCTGACATTGCTACCCTCATCAACGCAGCGTGTCCACAGTGAACACTTTGCTGATCATCAGGCTCAGCTTTTGTTTCTAGACATTTCCAGTGACAGCATCATTCTTCCAGACCATGATATTTGATATTTTGGAATCAACCTTTCCCTTCATAACCAGTCACTCATAATAATGTATAATTCTTAATTAATATGACTTCTACTGTTACTTGTAGAACTATTTTTCCCCACCAGTCAGTTTTAAATCAAACCTATGTCTTCATTCTAGCATTTGTCTCCTAAAAGCTTTATCATGTGCTTTTTTTCTTTTCCTGTCTTAATTCTCTCACATAGCACTACTAATCTTCCCCAAATAGTAATGTTGCATCATTACATTCATGCCCAGAGTCTTTTTAGACTAGTGTTTATTGAAGTCAGACATTGTGATTTCCCAAGCCAATAAAACTTAAAGAAAAAGAGAAACTTCTCACATAAGCTTGCTAGCTGATCATTCTGCCAAATAACAGAACACAAGGAGAAAGAGGGCAAGAAAAAGGGAGGGAGAGGAATGTGAAGGAAAAAGAGAAGGCAGGAATGAAGAAAGGGAGAGGCGAGAGAAGGAAGGCAGGATGAAATGATGGAAAGGAAGGGGGGAAGGAGGGAGGGAGGGAGGTCGGCCCTGACAAATTAGTTATGTTTTCCTCAAAGGATATTTAAGGTTAAAATGGTAGGAAGACCAATTTTAGAATTAAATAATTTTATCAAGTTGAAGAAAACTAGCATTATGAAAAATGCACTCCATTTTCTTTCCCTTCTCATTTCAACACTGACATCTCTGTGCAGTGGAGTTTGGGAACCTGAAGCTGTAGGATAGACTCTAAACCCAACCGTGCTTTTCAGGTTATTGAACATCTGCCCTACAATTTCTGTTTTCCAAGATTTGCACTTATCTCCACTCTGACCAAACATATCTACTTCCCATTTAAAATGCTACCCGTCCTCTCTCGTTGCCTAAATTCTGGTCTCCCTTCAAGACCCAGTTTGTCTGGGTTCCTTCACGAACATAAAACCTTTCTCTAGTACTCTTTCCTTTCTTGTTCTAACTTCTTGAAAGTCACTTTTTTCTGGTAAATATTATGTGGAATTTTGTTGCCTATTTCATTCCATCCTTCTGTCGACTCCCAAGTTCCTATCCCCACTCAGACCTCTCTTGGAACTCCAGATTGTACATTCAGGAGTCTCTCTGACACTTCCAGAGATGTCTACTGGCCATCTATCAGTCGACATCACTAACGTGGAACTCCTTATCTTTCAAAAACTTCTCTACCTGAGGACAATTCATCCTTCTAGATTCTCAAGTGAAAAAAACATGGAACTGTACTTAATTTCCTTTTTTCTCTTATACCTCACATCTAATCTTCCCATCCCATAATAACTGCCTTTGAATTCCACCATGCCTTCCCCTCTCCACTTCCAACATCCCATGGAGTCACCCTTTCTCTTTCCTGGATTGCTAAAGTAGTCACAGAGTTGGTCTTGATGTTTCCAGTTTAGCCTTCACATGCAGTCTATCCTCACACAATGGCTAGAGTGATCTTTTAGAACCACTGAGTCAAATCATGTCCCCTTTCCAGGCCTCCCCATCTCACATAAAAAGAAAAGCTCAAGTCCTTACAGTGACTGACACACCCTCCATGGCTCACTCTCACCACCTATCCCATTCATCTTGAGACTCTTCTACGCAGTTCCCTCTAGTCCAAGGCACTGGCTGACGTGCTCTTGAAACCTGAGGTGGCCCACCTCCCCACCTCAGGTCTTGCTCTGGCTGCTCCTGCTATGTGAAGCAGTCTTCCCTCAGACAGTCTGCAGGGCTCACTATTCCTTCCTCAAGTCTTTGCTCAAATCCTGACTTCTCAAGGAAAATTATCTCAATCTATTATTTAGTATCACCAGCTCGCCCCTTCACTTTCTCCCTGTCTCTGAAAACCCATGCTTCTCTTTCTGAGATCACTTTACTCTCAAATCACCTCCATTCACCCTATCCTCTACTGAGAATGAGAAAGACCTACAAGACTACCTCAAAGCATACAACCTATGAATTCCAGATGAGCCATCTAACCTCAGCATCCTTGCACATGGAAACTGTGTATATGGTGAGAGGACAGAAACAAACTAGCTGTTCTCCTGGGCAGAGAAGAGAAGGGAGAAGAAGACAGCTGGGGTGGAGCCCAGGAAGAAGGATGGAGAGAAAATGGCATTTCAGTGAGCTGAATACAGAGAAAGTACAAACCACAAATATGTGTAACCTCCACCACATCCTGAGGGACCAGAAAGTCTACAAACTGCAACGTGCATTACAGGTTGGGAAACACACACACACACACACACACACACACACACACACACACACACACACAAACTAGCTGTTTTCAAAACAGAAGCAGGCATTGAAAAGTACTTATTCAGGGAGTTTACAAGTGACCCAAAGGTCCATGTGGATGGTCAATGTCCATGCAACATTGTTTTACAATGAAAAACACAATGACCTCTATATAGAGAACATTGAATTGTTTTGTTTTGTTTTCTGGGGGAAGAGTGTCTCCTAAATTAATAGATTAAAATATAAAATCATGAAACTATGAGATGTGAGAAATGTTTAGGTTTGAAATTTTGGTCTTTGAAAGGGCAGTATTTTTGGGAGGGCTTTAATTTATATACACCCATACACACACACACACACACACACACACACACACACACACACACACACACACACATATATTCTTTTTATAAGAGACTATACTCTTAAAGATAGTAGCCATGTGGTCAGTTCCTGTTTTTATGTTCAACAATCTAATAGCAAAACTTTCTATAAATCCACAAAATTTAAAACTGTCTACTGAATGGAGTTTACATTTCAAAGTATTGCATTTTAGGTCATGCAAATCAATAATTTCAACTAAAATATAGTTTTAAACTAAGATAGTATCCAACTACGAAAATCAAATTTTGTACAAAACATCAATATTTGAGATGGACAAAATAATGAAGTCACACATTAAGATGCATGAATGATTTCAAAACATGATAAATGTCTCAGACACTAAAATCTAACCTTTGTAACAGAAAAGATTATCATTTCAGTATTTAATGTTTTAAGAAAACATACTCGTTTGGATATCATCTTCTTATTTTTATTTTAAGTATGACTTTTGAATTGTATAAATGTCAAATATATACTATCTTAAAATTCTTGTAAAAGATAGCTCAACAACAAATAAAAACTAAAATATATCTTATGCAAATTATCTTGCAGAGTTCTCCAATGTTATTGTTTGTATCTTTTTTTTAATTGTAGTATTCAACAACACTGAAGATCCATAGATCAATTCTGTATAAAATTATTTTTAAAGGTAACTTTATGCAAAATTTTTACTTACACATTCGGTGGCTGTGACAATTAAGGAACTTGAGATGACAGATTTTCCTCCATTAAAGCTCACTGAAACATCAAGAGTTCTAAAAAAGAAAAAAGAAATATTAATTAAAAATAAATTTCAAAGTAGAAGATTGTAGGAGATTTTTATTTCCATATATAACTCAAAAGCAGCCAAAACATATACTTGAAGAATAAAGGTCACACTTCTGGTAAGTTATCTTGACTTTTTTCTTCCTTTTCTAGTCCTTACTCATTAACCAGAAGCAAACTTCTTAAGTGATCTAATTGTTCCTTTAGAAAGTATTAACATAAATAGGGACATTAAGAAATTTCCCTATTGGAGGGTTGAGATTGTTTCAGATTCATAAAAACCTGAAAAGGAGAAAGCCATTAGGACTCATTTGGCTGATTTTCTTGTCTCTAGATATTAGCATTATCTCAAGATCATTGTTCAAGAATATAAATATGAAAGTAATAACAATTCAAAAATAAAATATGAAGAAAGTGAATATGAAGGGCAGAGACAAAGTGAAAATAAAAGAGAGAAAGATTTACTTGTAGGTATTTGTTATAGATGGTCACAGGATATTTGAATATCCTGCCAAAGTTTAAAAAAAAAGAGAGAGAGTGGATGGTTTTTGTTCCCGACTAAGAAACAGTATCCTTAAAATACACTTCTCATTTTGAGAATATGAATTCAAATTAAAAAACAAATAATAATAATTAAATTTCCAATGATTCAGATTGATTATTTGGAATTAATGAACCAGGAGTTAAAAACTTTTTTTAAAAAAATAGCTGTTGCAAGATATCAAAGGGATATATAAGAAAACAGCTCTTTTCCAAAATAGTTTGCAAAGTGTATCATACAAGAAATAGTATGCCAACAAATCAAAGCTATCTATTGATTTTTTTTTTTTTTTTTTTTTTTGAGTTGGAGTCTCACTCTGTCACCCAGACTGGAGTGCAGTGGCCGCTCCCGGCCACCGCAGCCTCGACCTGCTGGGCTCCGGCCATCCTTCCGCCTCAGTCTTCCAAGTAGCTGGAACTACAGGCGCGCGCTACCGCGGCCGGCTAATTTTTGATTTATTGTAGATATGAGTTCTCGCCAACTTGCCCAGGCGGGTCTCGTACCCGCCGGTTCAGGCAATTCACTCACCTCAGCCTCCCAAAGCGCGGGATTACAGGCTGAGCCACCGAGCCAGCTTAAAATCTTTTTTTTAAAAATTATAAAGATGTGAGGTACAATTCAGGGTTAGATATACAGACGTTGATTATGCAGGAACCCTTGTTGATAAGGTATGCCCCTCCCTTCCCTGGCAGTTTCACTCAACTGCCAATCCCAGGCCCCCCCCCCCTTTTCTTTTTTTTTTGAGACAAGGTCTCACTCTGTCGCCCAGGCTGGAGTGGAGTGCGGTGGCACCATCATAGCACCGCTACAGTCTTGAGCGATCTTTCTGCCTCAGCCACCGGAGTAGTTGGAACTGCAGGCACGCGCCACAGCGCCCAGCCTATTTATATTTATTTATTTATCGATCGATCGATTGATTGATTGAGTTGGAGTCTCACTCTGTCGCCCAGACTGGAGTGCAGTGGCCGCTCCTGGCCACCGCAGCCTCGATCTGCTGGGCTCCTGCGATCCTTCCGCCTCAGCCTTCCGAGTAGCTTGGAACTACAGGCATGCGCTACCACACCCGGCTCATTTTGATTTATTGTAGAGATGAAGTCTCGCCAAGTTGCCCATGCGGGTCTCGATCCCACGGGCTCGGGCAATTCACTCATCTCAGCCTCCCAAAGGTGTGGGATTACAGGCTGAGCCACCGAGCCCGGCAGCTATCTACTGATTAAAGCAGAGAGTAGTGGGTAACATTTTGTTAATGTGGTTTCTATAAAATACTATGCCTTTTAAAGCACCAAACTCCAATTCTCATAAAACATTCTAAATTCCAGAATTAATAGCCAGAAACTTCACCTTCATCACCCTGAAATAGTAGAATTTTGTTACATATAGAAGATTTCTTCCCTGTGCCTTTAGTTGAGTGACAAATACCAATAGCTCTGGACAGGATAAAACAGAAGCAAACTCAGGCTGCTGAGAGAATTTTCAATAATGATCCCAGAAAGGGAAATGACAAATATTATTTAGTCCTTTCTATGTGCTTGATGCTATCCTAGACATTTTATGGGCATTATTTCATTTATTTCCTCACAACAACCTTGAAGGAAGTAGTAGTTTCAGTTTTACAGAGGGGGTGCAGGAGACCCAGATATGTTTATTTCTTTACCCAGAGTAAAGTTAAGATTCTCACTAGCTTTGAACTCTTTCCATCACACCACAGAGGTTTGATGAAATAATGGAATCAAGCTCCTTAATGTGCTTGTTTTCTCAATGTGATATTTACTTTGGATTCATGCAGAAATAAAACCACCAAGAAAGATACTACCGGCAAAATTCAAGCTAAACTCTTATTTAAAATTCAGAAATACTACTTTTAAAAATATTTCTAGTAAAATATTCACTTCAAAATAGGTTGTTTAAAAGATAGTTTACCAGCTGGGCTCGGTGGCTCAGCCTATAATCGCGCCTTTGGGAGGCTGAGGTGAGTGGACTGCCTGAGCCCGCGGGTTTGAGACCCGCCTGGGCAGCGAGACTTCATCTCTACAATAAATCAAAAAATCAGCTGGGCGTGGTAGTGCATGCCTGTAATTTCGGCTACTTGGAAGGCTGAGGCGGAAGGATTGCCGGAGCCCAGCAGGTCGAGGCTGCGGTGGCCGGAAGCGGCCACTGCACTCCAGTCTGGGCAACAGAGTGAGACTCCAACTCAAAAAAAAAAAAAAAGATAGTTTACCTAAATCCAGAAAAGAATGAGAATTCTGGGTGTTTACATCAAATTAACTGAATTTCTGAACTATTACTACACAGAAAGGCAAGTGGTCTACTTAAGAAAGAAAATGCAAACATTATTGTCTATTTTGTTGTGGGTTTTGGCAACTAAGCAAAATTGAATCAAAAATAATCTTTCTATTTCCTAATTTTTCTACTTTAAAGCATGCACCATGAGTCATATAATATGGTAGGCATAGTTTTATTTTAGGGGAAGGTTATTTTTATTCATAATAAAAATATGATTCTTATAGGGAATCTAACTGATTCAACTTTAAGGGATCAGTAGATACTGACTGAAGTTGTTGATAATCTGGCACACAGAATTCACCAGAAATGAACTAATTCCCTAAATAATGAAGGAAACATTCAAATCGTTTAATGCTTAACAAAATGAAATAAAAACAGAATATAATTTTAAAGCAAAGTTTTCTCTTTCCTATAAAAGAAATGCATACTGATGAGATCCTGTAGCCAAGAAAAAACAGCTGCTATCTACATATCTCAGTCTAATATAATGTGACTGGTGTCAGAAAAAATAAAAAGAGTTAAGTCTCCAGAAATATAATAATCCACTTGATGATCTTTTGACATACGGACTTAATTGAACCAATACAATCTTCCTCTTTTGCAGAGTAGCAGTAGCATAACCAAAACATTACCATCAACAACACCACTAATAATCACAGGCATTTATTGAATCCTACTATGAGCCAGACACACTAATTCATCTTCTTAAGTAATTCTCATAGCAGCCCACTGAGTTAGGCACTAGCATTATCTCCATTTTACAGATGAGGAAACTGGAGCTCTCAAAGGTAACTTGCCTAAATATTGGACCTCTTTGACTCCATAGTCATAGGGCCTTTACTTCTACACCTTACTACCTTAACCCTCCACCCAGATTTAGGCTCTTATATTTAAATTTATCTCCTTAGCATGAGTTTAGTGTCTCTCTTCTGGTCTTTACTATATTCACATATCTCTCATGGCTAATCAGAATGGCATCTATTATATGCTAGAACAAGATGTTTATTTGTGAATAAATATGTTTATGAATATATGTGCATATATATATGAATGTACATATTTTTTCTGGAAAAGTTATCCAGAAGTGTTGCAATCATGGGGAAAAAACAGTTATTTTGGCTCTTAAATTGTGTGTTTTTTTAAGAAAAACATTTTTCAAATTATTAGTCTGATATTAGCATTATCATAAAGCTGGTGCCCTAGTCCAAAACCATGCTGCTCTTTGGCTAGCACAAAGATTGATAAAGTCACCCCCTCCAGTCTAGACCCAATGCTATGACCTTCCCTTTCTCCAGGACTCCAACATACATAGTTAATGCTTTTTGTCATATTTTATTATGTTCTGTCACTTTTGTTAGTATCTGAGGATTATTCATTCCTATTCCTACATAACTTAGACTTCTGGTTAGTGTACTACTAACACTGAAACCCATACTTTCAGTTATAAAAACTTCATGGTAAGTAAAATTATATTAAAACAATATGTGTTTCTTCATTACAGACAAAAGTGGGAGGAAACAGGACAGTTCATTTGTTTATCCCAAGATCAAATAAAGTTGGAAAAGGACATAGAGATTCAGCCCAGATATTGGGGAATCTGAAATAGTAAGCCTGAACCCTCAGTACTCTACTCTTAATTGCCCAGTCCTCAGCCTGTAAAGAGGGGAGAGTGTACCTATTTCAGAATTGTTCTAAGACAGATAGATAAGATAATTACATAAAATTCCAACACAATGCCTGGAACACAGCAGACCCTCTATAAATTACTGTGACATCTGACTGTCTAAAGGATTCTTCAGAATATGAAGGTACTTTTTTATAAACCTTTTAGATTCAAGCTAAAAGTCAACATAGTTAATGCAGAAGAATACAATAATCATGCAATACTCTTTGTTTAATGCATGGAATGTCTATCCTTACTACCATATAACATTGTAAAAAGCTAACTTGTTCAAAAAAAACACTTACTTTAAATGCCGTACAGTTTTTGTAAAGAAATTTTTCAGTGCTATATCCTTCCCATTATAAAACATTATCTCTATTAAAACTCAACATTATAGCTGTGTTGAGCTGTGTGCTTAAACCTCAGGCCTAATACTTCAAAATGGTTGATGAATGTTTGCCAATAAATTAATTCAGTCACTCATTCACTCTATTATTAGTTAA